GGGGGTTCCCTAGAGAACTCCTTGCTATATATACTTGAATAAAAATCCCAGCTCCCAAGAGGGTAGACGTTAAAAAATAAAAAAAAAATAAAAAAAAAATAAATTTTATTAGGGGTGGTTTGTCTGTTAATAACGATTTTACATCCAGAATGATGCTTGGTAAAAAATTCTGAACCTCAGCTAATGCTTCTGTACATGCTTCTTTTGTTTTTTTTTTTAATTTCTTCATAATCAACTTCTCTTTTTTCAATATTAATATCATCAAGTTTATTATTTATTTTTGCAATTGCATCATTAAGATTTTTTTACAAAATCATTAAACCTTCAACTGCATTTTTTCAATATTCTTTTTCTTGAATTAAACTTTGATTTTGTTTATAAAGTGCACTATAAGCTTCTTTTAAACAATTAAATTTAGCAATTGCTTTATCATATATTTGATTATTATTATTTGTTGGTGAAGGTAGGGGTTGTTCAGGTACAGGTTGTTCAGGTTGTTTAGTTTGTTCGCTTATTTTTTTTTTAAAAAAAAATTACCTTTATTTTTTTTAAAAAAAATATCATAGTAAAAAAATAATTTATTTTTTTTTTAAAAAAAATAAACTTACAAAATTATTTAAATATATTTTTTAAATTCTATTTCTCTTTTTTCTTTATCACAATAAAATATTTCATAAACAGTTAAAACATATAATATTGTATAAATTGACCCAACATTCGTATAAACCCAAAATGTTAATATTTCAAAAACAATAGCATAAAGCCATCGATTATAATCATACAGATCTCATATAATTCTAACCAAAATAATACTGCAACAAAAATGTGCAATAATTGTGCAGATAATACTATTATAGCATTTTTTATAAAGATATAATGCAAGCCTTATTTGAGCCTCTATAGAGACAGAAAAAGTTATCAAATAATACTACAATTAAAAAAAAAATTAGCAACCAAAGAAAAAGAATATTCTAAAAAAATAAAAAAAATACTTACAAGCATATACATTTAAAAAGGATTACTTTGAGAAATTTTATTTTTACGTTTTTTATATATAAATAAATTAAGTTATATAATTATTTAAAAATTACACCAAAATCTTTAATTATTTATTTATTATTTTTAATATAAAAGGAACAATAATTAAACAAATTTTGAAATTACAATAATTAAACAAATTAAATATAAATTTTCTTTATAAATAAAAATTTTCAAATACTCGTTAGTGGTATTAAGATTGGTGATTGTTAAAAATGAAATATACTTTTATTTTAATTTTATTTTTACTACCACTTCAAATATTCACCGCAAATAGTGATCCTATAATTGCAGTCAGATTTCCAAAATTATATACTTGGGATTTTAAAACTAGAGATTACAGATTAATTCTTAATAAAAATGGTCAAATTACAAATAATTATAAAAGTGATATTTTTGTATACTACAGAAATACATACGAAGCAGTATATAAAGCTAAAAGTACAAATATAAAACCTCAAAAACTGCTGCTACTAGAAGTTCAAAAAGAAAAGGTCGTGCAAAAATAATTGCAAAATTTATTAATTAGTTTTTATTTAAATATATTTATTTTATTTTTGTTGTTTTTTTTAAACAAAATCAATTTTTTTTAAGTATGTATTATTTGTTTTATGTATTTTTTTTAAAAAAAAAATTTTATTAATAAAATTAATAAATTTTTATTTTTAAAGATTTAAAAATATTGTTTATGTATAATTATTATTATGTTCAATGTACTATTGTTTAAATAATATTATATCTTTAAGATAAAAACTTCATAATGCAAAAACAGTTAAAGGGCAAGCAAAATTGAAAAAACAAATTAAAAATTTAACTAGAAAAACTTAAAAAACAAAAACAAGAATTTTTAAAAAAAATTAAAAAATTAAAAAAAAAACTAACAGATAATTATTTAATTATTTAATTATTATTTTATAATTTTATTAATATTTATTTAATAGCTGAAAAAAAGAAGTATTAAGAAGCAAAAAAATCGCTAATGCTGAAAAGAAAACAAATAAAATATTAAAAGAACAAAATGTTGAATTAAAAAAAGAAAAAGAAAAATAGAAAACAATATTTAATAATTTAAAAATAGAAAATGATAAAGATAAAGAAAAAATTAAAGAATTACAAAAAATACTTGCAACAAAAGA